TTCAGCTGAAAGGCTGCATCAGGCTGGTTTCTGGATAGGATAAAGGAGGTGTATTCCTCTAGCTTTGGGGGTGCCTTCCTACCTGAGTCCTCCAGGTAGGTGGAGATCTGCTATAAGCAATAGCCACTTTCAATTAGAGATTAGAGTAGAAAGAGGGAATTTGAAATGTTTGGGGACTGTGAATCACTTGCCCCAACTCACTGATCTTCCTGAAGAATATGGAGTTAAGAGTTTCTGGGAAATTGTCATGCAGGGTTGCAGCTTGGAGGTGTTAGTTTGGATCATGAACAGGTAGGGGAGAGCATTTGCTACCAGGTGTTCCCACCACAGGGAAGGAAAGTTTGGGTAAGAACACGAAGTTCACATTGATTGCCAAAACTATGCAGGACCTTTGCTTATCTTTTTTTGTTAATGAGCAATGCAGCCTTTCTGTTCTGCCTGTGGACTCTGCCCTGCAGGCCTCTAAGTAGCACTGGCACCTTGAAAACAAACATCCCCCCCCCCTTTTTTTTGTTTTGGGTTGGTTTTTTTTTTTTACATTTACTTTTGAGGAAAAAAGGCTTCTGTTTGTCTATGTGTGAGAGCCAAATTGTCTCATGTAGGTCAACAGCCTTTTGTGGTTCCCCTCCGTGCAATGACTGTGTAAGGGCTGGACAAGCCACTGGCCATGTCACCCCTTGCCACATTAGAGAAGTGTTCTGTGCTCCTCCCGTTGCTTGCTGTGAATCAGCCTGAGCCATGCTTGCTTGCTTACTCTAAAGGGGATGGAGGATGCAGTGCCCGAATTGCCCTGCTGCTGCTCCTAGTGCTGCTTACAACACTGATCCTGAGCCGCTGTTAGACAGCATGGGGAAACCTGCAAAGTTTCCCTGGAGTTGGTGAGCGTTGGACAGAGCCAAGAGATGTGAAGGTCCTAAAGCAGTTGAGAAATAAAGGCACAGCTGCTTTTCCATCCCAAGGAGTATTTACTGACTCTCAACACCCTGACCAAGGGGACTTACCTGCCCTCCTTGGTGATGTGAAGAGCAGGTTATGATTTTGCCTTTTTATCAGCTGAATTCAGTGCTGAAGGATCACCTGTTGCAGGTGGTCAACATGTCCATCCTGTCCTTTGCTGGCAGGACTCCACTATTTCTGGAGTGTCCCACGTTCTGCTGCTGAGGAGCTTCTGCGCTAGGTCATGGGCTGACCTTCCTCCTGCTGTATTTTTATGTATATATAATGCTTTGGGCCATATTCAAAATGGTCCTTGAGCAGAAGTGTGTTATGCTTGGGGGGGGGGAGGGTAAAAAGAGCGAAAATATAGAATAAATGTATATTTTTCTTTGTAAAATAAAGAAATAAAATTAAGTTTGGCATAAATGGTCATACTTTCTTTCCCAAATGATCCATATTATGGAGAAAAAATAACTTTCAGATTTTTTAAAAATCCCTGAATAAATATGGCAGATAATAATGGAACAACATGATGTCCTTTTGCCAGAGATGGATTTTTTTTTTTCCTTGTTGGAAAGCTATTACTAGGACAGCAGATGACTGCGGAGAGTGGTCTCCAGGCCTAAATACTTGTGGGTGAAGCCTTTGCCTCTTCTCTCTAACTAGATCTTGCTGTTCCCGGGAATGTCTAGCACCAGGGGTCTTTTGCAGTAAGGTATCTTTCTCTGTTGCTTGGGTAAAGGCTTATGTGGAGCTTGAAACTGACTCTTGCTTCTCTCTTGTTGTGGGCTTTGAGATGAACCCTGTGTGTCAGGACTAATTTTCTGGCTGCAGGGAGGACATGATAGCTGCTGAGTAACAGCAAAGCATGCTGGGAGCAATCAGCACCCGTTGGGTTCTCTTTGGGTACAGGCTGGGGAAGTGGGGTGAGCTTCTTCTCTATCTTGGGATTGGGTCATGCCCCTGTGCAATAAAACCTTCTGGGGCTCTTTCCAGGCTCCCTGTGGAAAACTCTGGGGATTGCCCTAGGAGATGCTACTGCTGGAGTTAACTTTGATGGCATTGTCTACTCCTGCATAGGTGGAGAGCTGTTTAAGTTGCTGTACAGCTCCTCCACCAGTATTGTGGCTGCTTCCACATCAGTGTCCCACAGGTAGTGGGCCCTGGTGGGCATCCTTAGGCTCTTGGAGACCACAGGAAGGCATGGCTGTAGGTGTGATGTGCAGTTCTGTTTGTCTTTGCCTGTTCTCCCTCCTGGATCTTTGCAGAATGCTGCCTGCCACCTGGCTGGAGTTAAACCTGAAGAAGGCCTAAGGAAGGATGATAGGAATAATCAGTTATGGGAAGACTTCTGGAGGAGTAGTTATGTGGTTGAGAACTCGCTGGCCTGGAAGAGCAATGCTGCAGGTCTGTGAAACCCTGAGAGGACAGAGGAGGCGAATAAGGAATGACTGCTCACAGGCTTTTTCAGTAGGAAAACTGGGCACCATCAAATGAAGTGAGTGGGTGGCAGATGAGAAATAAACAAGAGGCTGGTGAGAGCGTTCTAGGAGGGATCATGGTTTGACGTCAGCCAGACCTTTGCTCTTGCGCTGGATGTGTGCAGTGTCTCTGTACTGCAGTGCAAACAGCTGATGGTACCGTGATGCAGCGCCCTTGTCTTGAGAACGCAACCAATGGGCCAAGTCCCCAGCGTAGAAGGTATTGCACAAATAACAAAAACATTCCCCGCTTCCAGGAACACTCTATAGAAGAGGCCTGGATATCTTGGGGGGCAGACAGCCGTAGATACTGCCTTAAAGCTGGCCAGAGTCCCACTGCTGAGTCAGAGCTGTGGTTGCCACATTAACTGCAGCAAAGAATAAGCATTAATCAGTTAAAACTGCTCTGACACCCTACTAAAAAGTAGAGGAGTAGTGTATTGATACCAAGGCTTTGTTAATTCTCATTGCAAATGCACGAAATCGTCTAGGTCATCATGTGACCCCTATTTCTGGGAATGTAGAAAGTTTGTTTGGAAAAGAGCCTTCAAAGCTGCTGTTTCTTGGCCTGGTGGTTGTGTGTTACAGATCTTCCTTCTCTTTCCTTTGGTGCAGGCTGTGGATTGCCTGCGCCTGGTGACGGGGACTGTATCTGCGATGGCCTGACCTACCAGGGCCCCCCGTGTGTCTGTCATGGCGGGTGACTGCACAGTCAGTAGGTTTTGCTGGAAGAGGGTGGCCGAGAGGAGCGGAGAGGTTAATTCTGCCTGTGGAGCTGCTGCTGTAAAATTGACTAGAAGTCATAGACTGTAGTTTTGGTTTTAATTGCCAGGGAAACATCAGCTGACAACTCGGGGTGGTCAGCTCCCTTGAGAACTACAGAGAAACAGTGTGTGTGAAGGTGAAGGGATTGCTGGTGGGGTGAGGGGGATGCCCTCGCTCGGCTGTGTTGGGGGCTGCTTTGTCTCAATGCTGCTGAGGAGAAATTGCCTGGGATCCTTGGGAGCTCCTCAGCCTGTGGATCCTCCGTGACAGACAACATCTGGGTGGTTGCCCAATCTTGGAGGCAGGAGATAAGCTTCGTGCCTTCCCATCTTATTTTATGTGTGGTAACGTGTGTTTTGGTTTTCTTCCTCCCATAATTTTGACCCCCCCCAGACGGGGTCTCAGTGGAAGTTTAAGGGGTGCTTTGGTCCTCCATTCAAAACGAAGGTGAGGAGGATGGGCACAGCGCTCGGTGTGGGAGGGGAGGAGGAAGCCTAGCGAGG